GTCACAGGATGGTTGGTTGTGTTGTTGTGGTTTTGTTTTTGCCCTATAAAGACAGCATTCAAAATAACGAGTCTGATCCTACCAAGCAGAGCAGGAGGAGTCAAATGGGGGAAGGGGAGGGATGCTCCTCAGAAGGGCTAGCACAGCAGAAAGCTGGAATGGGCAGGGCCAGCAGGGCAGGTGTCCTTCACATAGATCACAATGTCACCCATGTCCCTGGAGTTGTGTGACAGAGGGGTTCAGGGTCAGAACAACCATTAAGGGGGTTGGCATCTGCAGGGGCTCCAGGCCACTGTGCCCTAAAAGAAGCCCTGATGACACAGTCATCACAAGTTGAACTGTTAACCACAAGGTCAGCAGTTCAAAACCACCAGCTCCTCTTCATGAGAAAGGCGGGCTTTCTACTCCGGTAAAGAGTTACAGTCTCTTTAGAAAGAGAAACCCACAGGGCAGTTAGGGGCGCTCTGAGCCCAGCCGGCATCAACGCCATGGCCCTGAGCCTGAGCTTTTGAGTGCCGCATCGGGTCACTCGTTACAGCATTGAATGCTGCTTTTGAGTCAATGTGCCTCAGTGCTGCCTTACCCCACAAGTCGGTGGTTGGCAGTTCAAACCCACCAGTGGCTCCATGGGAGAAAGATGAGGCCGTGAAGATTTGCCGTCTCAAAACCCTGCGTAGAGTCCCGCTGAGTTGGAAGGCACTTGATGGAGGGAGCCCTGGTGGCACGGTGGTTGCATGCTCAGCCACTAACCGAAAGGTTGGCGGTTTGAAGCCCCTATGCTTACGCAGTCCCGGTGCAAAATAGGGTGAGCTGTTTGCCGGGTCACGTTCAGCCTCACGGAACTGTCCTTCGAAGGAAAAAACTTTGGGGTCCGACCCTGTAGAAACCATAGCCTGGGACCCCCATGCAGCAGGTTCGCTCTGCCCTAGAGGGTCGTGACGAGGGGAATGAGATGGTTAGCGCCCACAGAGCCTTCAGCGGCGCAAGCAGGTGTATGATCGGCTGTAAACGGATCGGTTTGGGGACCCACCCAGTAGCTGTGGAAAGAAGGAAATCTGCTTCCGTGAAGCTCTGGGCCAAAGGAGAACCCTAAGGTGCAGTTCTACTCTGCAATGCACGGCATCGCCGTGGACTGGAAGGCAGCCAGGCCACCCAAGATTTCCTGTCACTTCCCCCACCAGACGGCTCGTCCTCAGCGGCCTCCTCTTCTGCTGTTATGGTCAGATTTATGATCAGCGTAGTTCACATAGAAGGAGGGAAACCTGGGAAGATAACCGCCTCTTGGTAGCTTTCTAATCTCACTCGATTCGTATGCATCTGCAGGCGCTCATTTCAGTAGCAGGGAGCAGCGGAGTGGCCCTGTCACCGTGTGTTCAGCCTTGAGGGACAGCATTTCACATTCTCAGGAGCAGAAGTGGGGCCTGAGCTGCAGGAGGCAGGGAGCCTACAGGGAGAGTCCAGTCTCTCTCTGGTGGGGGGCCCAGAATAGGTGTGAAAAGAGCCAGCCCCCTAGAACTACGGGTGGGGTGGGGTGGGGGAGAAGCAGTCCAGCTCTGGAGGGACTTGGGGAAAGTGCTCTCTGCAGATGTGGCCAACGCTCAGTCCTTGTCTCGGCAGCCCCTCCTCCAGACCTGCTCCCATGCCCTAGCACGGAGGCTGGTGCTACCACCACCACCATAGCCTGGAGTCACCCTCCAGGTCTGGACTGAGCCCATTGGGCCCTGCTCTGCCCGCCCCACCTGTGTCAGAATAATCAACCGCTTGAGATCCAAAAGGGCAGCATTGACGGAGGGCAGAGGGCGAGGAAGGAAGGGGTGGCGATAGGAATCACAGGCAGGGCATGGGACATGGGACAGGATGTTGAAGGAGTGGAACTGATGGTCACCTCTGGAAACCTTCACCTAATACACAAGAAGAGTTTACCCCCAAAAAACTTTTTTTCCCCTTAAGTTGGTTCTAGTAGCATCTCCCTTTCTGAAGGCGTCTGAGACCAGGCCTACTCCCCATCCGCAGAGAAAGACCAGAGCCCTCATCTCTGTTGTCTCTGTAAGCCCAACCTGTGGCGCCACTCCCAGGCCCCTTCTGCATGCATCAGCTATTTTATGAACTGACCATTACAAGAGTCCATGTGGAGGGTACGTTGGGGATAGCCAGGAGAGCGCCTTTGATGAACCAGAACAAGCCCGTATCTGGTACTCAGGGCCACTACACATCTGGTGACAGTAGCTCCTCCATCACCTGCCTGCTCACTCCACTTCTCTCTCTCTACATCAGGGTCTCCTCTGGTCTCCAGGCCTGCCGGAGCCGACCCCTGGCCACACGCAGCACAGGTCCCTGGTCTTCTTGAACCCTGGATGCTGCAGAGCACGCTCATCTCTATGTGAATTGTGTGTTGAAAGCAGTGGGCACTGAGTCTGGGGGGTAGGCTGGGTGATTGAAGACAAAAAATTCCCAGGCATCCATTAGAGGCAAGTCTCTAAGCTGACCCTGAGGGGTCATCTGACGAGTGCAGAGGAGGCATGCAGTGGTTCTCCCCCCTATTGTGTTCTCCCCCCACACTCCATGACCAGGTGAACTCTTTGGCCCTCAGCCCACACTTGGGAGTGGCACTCATACCCATGCCCTCTGCAGTGGTTTGATTTCCAGGAATGCTCCCCCGCCAGGCCCGACATGAACTATAGGCTCTCTCCCCCTCCCATCTTCCAGCCTAAGCACCCCCAGTTCCCCTTGGTTGCCCTCACCAAACCTCTCCTTGGGCCACACTTTCAGGAGACCTGCTGGTCTCCTTTTCCTCAGCTGCTCAGGCACTGCCTCCTCTCATCATGGCCCTATCTTCACCAGGCTGTAGCAAGCAACAATGTGAGCTTCCTGCGAGGCCAAGCCTGGGGCTTGGTCCAGGAGGAGACAAGCAATGGCTGAAGGTCAGTCTCCAGGAATCTCACCATCTGAAAGCTACACTTCACAGTGGGGCTCTGAGACGGAGAAACAAAGCAATGTGATTTTTCAAAAACAAATCCAAACGTCAGGTGTGTCTATGCATTTTCTTTTTTTCCCTTCTCTTGTCTTTTCTTCTCTTTTCATCAACTACTCTCCAGCTCCTGCTTCTCCATTCAAAGACCTGATGGGTTCTGCCTCTGTTCTGCAAGCAAGTAGCTCTGATCTCAGGGCTCCAACAACCGTTTGGAAAAACCCACAGGATGAAAGTGAACTTGGGGGAGAACTTAGGGGGCAGGCACCGGGCAGCCAGGAGTTGCCCAGCTGTGCAGAGAAGAGTCTGGTTTTGCCAGAGTCCATAGAGGAAGACAGGGTAAGGTGGAGGGAGGGCAGGGGAGTCACAGAGGGAGCTGGATTCCAAGGGAGCCTGGTGGGGTGGGGTGGCCAGTGAGAAGCCCGAGGTGGTAAGACAGCCAAAGTAACTTTTCAAACCCTTTCAGAAATGTGACCCGAAACTATTTGCTGGGTGATGTAACTGCTCCCCTGTGACCCACAAACCTTCATTAAATGCTCTGTTACATGTTACAGCCTTATTTTTGTGGTTGTTTTTGGGATACGGGCAGAGTTTGCAAGAAGGAGGAGCCAGGCTCTGTATTTGAATCGACAGCAGGCACTAAAGAAACAGTCACAGGACCAAAACTGTGAATTAAACTTCAGAGGAGGCAGAAAATGGGGGCCAGAGGCAACCTGAACATCTAAGCCCCCTGGGTAAATCAAAGATACCGGACTTTCCACAGGACATGGAAGTACCAGCCAATGTCATTCCAACCTCAAGGGACAGGCCACCTCAGCGGACATTTGGGTTGCACACAGGCTCTGCCTCTTCCGCTGGACTTGCTGGGTGGCATGGAGCTGATTCCGACTCACAGAGAATCTACGTGCAGCAGGGATGGCCCATGGGCTTCTCTTCGTTGTCATCTTTTCGGAAGCAGTCACTGGGTGTGGGGTGGGTTCAAAGCATCAAATGTGCAGTTAGCAGGAGAGCACTAAACTGTTGCACCACAAGGGCTCCTTCCAGCAGGGTTAAACCTTGCAAAACATATGATGAGTCACCCATGCCTTAGCCATCCAGGGTCTTAACATCATGGCTAACTTATCTTCCTTGCCACCACCTCCCCGACATATACCCCCCACAAAGGAATATAGGGTCTAGTAAATGTGTGTGTGAATGGTCCCTTAGTGGCCCGGGTGCCCACTGGGAACTAGCAGGGTCTAATGCTCCGGGGTGGCATCAACAAGAAGACTTTCAGGATGGGCCTTCTCCCTCCTCCTTCCTGCTTTCCTCCCTCTAACCCAGCAGCCCCTAGGCCAACAGCGTCAGCACAAAGACCAGCTAGGTAGCCCGAAGGTCTTGTAAACAGGTAAGGCCCAAGGGGAGGTGCTGTCCACAGAGATCACAAAAGCTTGTGTGGTAACAAACGGCTCTGATTTTGCTCTGCCCAGCCTGTGGAGGCAGAAGAGGCAAAACACTGCCCCTGGGGAAGTCCCTTGGACTTCTGGTCTAAAGAACCTGGAGCAGGCACAGGGAGAGAGCGTCACTGTCACTCGCCCAAGGATTTCCCTAGGAATGGCTGTAAGCTGTGAACTGTGGCGCTCTGATCGCTGCTCCCAACCTTTATCTCCGACGTCCTTCTTAGGGCGAGCCGGGAACGCCGCAGTCCAAGTACCCTCCATCAGGTGGCGTTCTCACAATGACCACGAGTCGCTCGCAGGACTGATGGCGCCACCTGGCGGTACAAAGTACCCTAACTCACCCCGGGAACTCTGCGAGAGAAGGAGGCGTGGCTTCTGTGGGCCGGCCCGCACAGCCCTGCCCAGCTCAGGCCCGCGTGATGACGTCACGCCAGATACGGTTTCTCCCCGCCTCTTCCCCGCTCCCCAAGAGCTGCCAGTACTTAACGTGGCGTCCCCGCCCTCTGCCCTTACTGTGCGTGCGTGCCTGCGTACGGCGGAGGTAGCTGCGCGGGCCGGTCGGAGAGCCGCGCCGCTGCCTCTGGGTGCTCCTTCCGCCGTCGTCGCTGTCCCGCTGCTGTGCACCGCCTAGCTGACGAGGCGTCGGCCCCAGCGCTTCGGAACCCCACGCAGCCGGGCTTGGATCCGGGCAGGCGGTGGGCGAGCGCGTGTCGGAGGACGCCGCGCGGGCGAGCGGACGCCCGTGAGGGAAAGAGGCAGGGGCGGCAGGTCAGGCGCGGGCCGGGCCGGCCGGGGGATGTCGATGCCTGACGCGATGCCGCTGCCCGGGGTCGGGGAGGAGCTGAAGCAGGCCAAGGAGATCGAGGACGCCGAGAAGTACTCCTTCCTGGCCACCGTCACGAAGGCGCCCAAGAAGGTGCGGGGGCTCGGGGTGGAGGCGGGGGCCCGCCGGGCCTCGCGGAAGCGGCGCGAGCGAGCCCAGGCTGCGGCTGGTTCGGGACTTTGGGGACGAGGGCCTAGGGTGCTTGGGGGGCGCCGAGGGGTCGGGGCGTGACGGGTGAGCGGCCCCAGGCCCACCCGGGGCTGAGAAGGCCGCCCCTGACCTCGCTTTCCTTTGTCCCTCGGCCCTACTCCAGGATCTTTCTGAAACCCTGCAAGGCCTTACGCTTTGCACTGACTTTACTGGGTGAAGGGCCTCGGAGCCGGGAGTGGACGGGGCGGGGGTGTTGGATAAACTCAGCCCACCCCTAGGACCGGGCCCGGGGGTGGGGGGTGGTCGGGGGTGCCGAAAAGCTTCCCTCAGGTGGAGAGTGTAAATCCGGCCGAGCTTTTTCGGGCAAGGCGTGGAGAACAGCGGTCGGTTTATCTGGCAACTGCACCCGCTCTCGATCGCTCGGAGGCCAGAGGAGAATGCGTGGACCCTGCGCCTTCCTGCCGGCGAAGGCACGGGGGCAGCGTGAGCATGAAAAGGAAACTATGATTTTCACCCTCGCCCCCCTTCCAGCTGCTCCGACATCTGTACGGAATTGCCGTCCGGAGGAGGCTGGTGACAGCAGACACTGTCATCGATGGGTACGGGTTGATCCAGGGGGCGAGTGAATAGATCACTTGGCTAGGCATCGCTTGCGGAAGGCGCTTGGGTGGGTTGGCGGGGTGGGTGGTAAAGAAGGATTGCTCATTCTTGACTGCACTTACTGAGGCAGAACAGGTTTAGTCTCCTGGCTGTGGGTTGAACGCAAAGGGCACCTTTCTAATTCTCTTGTGGAGGATTACATTGGATCCTTTGGAAGCTTGAGTCTTAACCAGCCCTCCGAGTGGTGGACCGGGATCCCTAGTGCTTTTCGATCATGTGCTGCCAACCACATCCTGACTTTCTACACACCTGGCACCCAGTTCACAAGAGAGGAGAACTTTTGCAGAAAGGTGACCTTTCTTAAGAACCCAGATTAAAAAAAAAAAAAAGAACCCAGATAAATATTTGCGTCCTGTACAAAGACTTTCAAGGCTACCTCTGACTGACTGTAGTGCTTAATGGGATCAGATCCTAAGTTAGGTTTACAGGAATCATTACAGTTCTTAAAGGGCTTGCATCTGAACTAGTTAACCTGTCTTAAGTGGGAGAGATGGCTTTGGTGGGATGGGGGTGGGAGTTGTCTACTCCACTGTTCCATCTGTCAAATGCAAGCTTGAGGGAGGGGGACGTGTGTGCTGTCTTTTCGTAGTATTGGGTTCTTACTAACAGTGGTTTTTAAAGGTTGGGCAAAGGCCCCTTCATTCAAAAGCAGCAGTTCTCAACCCGTGGGTCACGACCCCTTTGGGGATCGAACAACCCTTTCACGGGCATTGCCCAATTCATAACAGTAGTGAAATTAATCGTTTTATGGTCTGGGGGTCACCACAACATGAGAAACTGTTAAAAGGGTTGTGGCATTAGGAAGGTTGAGAGCCACTGTTCTAAAGGTCTTGATTAGCCATATTTTCAGTGATATTAGTTTAGCTTTGTTGAGGCTATAACTCAGTCATTTGAATAGATCTTTGCAAAATGCGTATAGGTTGTTGAGCGTACCATAGATTTTGAGTTAGAAGGAAGACTGGGAAATCCCTGACTGATAACCTAATTCCCTGGGTTCTTACTCCATATTAGCCCATTCTCTCCTGTTTGGTTGCTTTGGGGTATTACCAGTAAGTGCTTTTCTTACTTGCCCCCCCCCCTTTTTAGTAAGCTTTTATTCTTGAAAATGCCAGTGTTGAAACAAAGTTTATAAGGTCCCATAAGGATGGGACTCTTGCGTATCCTTGTGTCCTCTCTTCCTAGCATATAGAAGGTACTCAAATATTAATTGCTCACCTGACTGTCAAGTAACTGAGATGTCAATATGGCTGCCTACCAGGAATAAATATCCTTTTCCCTTCCCTGTTCCCAGGAGGAATTTTGCTAATGTGTATTATTGTCAGGCCAAGTGTTAATGATTTTAGAGACCCAAATTCCATTAGCAGAAAGAAGCAGTCCCTGCTAGCAACGTGGGAAGGCCCTGTTGTGAGTTTCCATTTGCTGATAAATGTACCCTCATGTCCTTGTTGTTAATTTTGCTCTTTCTGAGCTTTCTTGTTTAGCTTTCCCACAGCACTTATGATAAAGTACCTTATAATGACTAATTACTCTTTCCTCAGTGATGAGAAAAGGCATTTATTTAATGGGTCAGTTGAGGACTAGTTCAAGGTCATATAGCAAGTCCTAGGCAATCTGTTTTCAGAACTTCAGCCTAGTTGGACGTTAGGTGACTTGAGTCACTTTTGTGCCTCTGCCATGTGTTAATAAGGTGACAGAGCATGGGAAAAATCCAAGGAAGAAAGTAGTTTGTCATGGGACTGCTGAACGAGGGGAGAAAAAGACTTCAAACACGGCCAGCCTTCATCCAGGTAGGTTCCAGTCTGGCTGTAGACCGAGAAATCCTTGAATCATTCCAAGCCGAAGGCCCCTGGGAAATTAGATTTCTGGTACCAGTCAAAGGATATAGGTTACTTCAGGGTGACCTTGATGGTCCTGAATCAGATCCCAGAGTAGCTCTCTGGTGAGCTTTTTATTAATTTTGTTTATTTGATTTGGGCATGTGTGGATACGCATAAGCTAAAAGTAGAGATAACTGGATTTTCACCTATAATCATGACTTGGTTTTGTATGCCCTTGGAGTCTAGCATCGTGCTATGTAGATGATAGGGCTCCTTGTGTTGGCTCAGAGCTTGCCTTGGGTTTTAAGAAGCCAACTAAACAGGTATTCTATTTAGCAGATCCGCTTCTGTGGAGTTTTCTCGTCCAGCTGATACGTGTTCGCTATTTACAGTAAGTGGAAATAGGGACATGTTGGAAGCTAAGACAGCAAGAATGTTTTAAAAAGAAGCCTGTTAGTATATTTATACTCCATCTTTTAAAAAAAAAATTTAAGGTGGTGAGGTAGTTAGTTCAGGTCTCTTGCTTTCTGATGGTCAAACCAGGGTGCAGCTGCCTTAGCCAGTTCCCTGCTTCAGCTGGCAAGGCTCACTTCCTGCAAGACATCCCTGAGGAGAAGCCACATGGACCTACCCTGATGCAGCCCTGGGTGCTGGAGCAACTGTGTGGAAACCCCTGTCAGTGCTGAGATGCTTACACATTTACTGACTCGGCTTTCCCCCTTACAGTCTTCATCATTGCATCTGTTTTGTGAGATGCAAGAAGACTTTGTGGATTGATGTTGGACATATGGGTTAATGGGTTAATGTTGGCCTTGTGGTCTTGGGCAGCACAGGGTTGGGGTGTGTTCTTGATGCGTACTTAACCTTTATATAAAACTCTCTCTTATATATATATGAGTTTCTGTGGACTTGTTTCTCTAAAGTACCCAGACTAACACAGATGGCTATAACACAAGGTAGACATTGAAAGGGAATTCAGTAAGTGTGTGGGAAAATTCCATTACATTTTAATGCCATTTTCTATGATGTTTTTTAAGCCTTGCCCCCCAGAACAAGTAGGAAGCCTAAGATGGTTGATGACCTTAATTATCATAAGCTACTTTTAACTTCCTTAGCAATCAGAGCATACAGGGAATCACAGAGTTAAATTCTCATTAACAGACATGATTATGTATATACAGTTACTCAGGAAAACCAATTTTCCTGGCACTAAGTTCAAAAGGAAAATTTCAAGGGATGGTATTAATAGCTAAACTGATACAGAAGGGATGGCTGTTTATGACTATTAATGGTGGTTTCAGATCTTCTTACCAGAGTTGAGGTGCAAAAGGGAGTATACATTGTACCACCCCTGAAGAGGCCCTTATTTGGTGTTGGCCTGGGCCAATCAAACCAAATATATTGTCCAGCTCACCACAATATTTGTCCCTCTTTTTCTGCTACTTTGTGTTGCAGGGGTGATGGCTGTCCTTGGACCTTTGGAAGTTGACATTGTGCCAAGTTGATTCTTTTCTTCATAAAGTAAACCCAAATCTTTGACACGTTGACAAAACCTCCTGAGATAGGCACGTTACTCTGGAAGGGCCATCTCACAACATTTTCTCTTCTCTGAACTTCTGGGCACTTGGGAGCCCTGAGTGACTTGGTAGGCAGTTGACCAGGATCTGTGCCAACTGACCATTACCACCAGCAAAACGGGGAGAAGGAGAAGGCAAAACCCCCTTTTTCATAGTATATTCTTTATCTGAGTAAAGTGTGTGTAATTATAATTCGTTCTAAGGGTCAAATGAAATTTAGGAAGCTGACCAACCCAGGCCCTAGTAGATTTATTTGCTTGCATGTTAATCTGACAGGTGATACCTGGAATGGTCTTCTTGTCCTTGGGGTTATTTTAGGGCTAATTCTTGGTGCGGTTTTTTAGCGTTTACACCTGTACATCTCAGATTCAGTGAGAAGAGATTAGATTTCTCCATAGATATTATCTCTTATCAAATTTTCTCTTATCTGGTTACTTGGACTCTGGTGTTCATATTACTTTGTTCCGAGTTCCTCCCAACTTTTACTTCCGACAGAAATCTGTTCATTTGACTATATTCTTTCCTGCCAAGGTCACAGGTGTGCACTTTCCCCCCGGGGAAGGGTCCTTTAGATCCAACATGTATCCGTATGGAATATTCTTTAAAAGATGTTTACAAAGAGTATTTTGATGCTTAGAATCTTGTATACCTTTAGTTGCCTATAAGTTTGTTCCTGATAAGTTTACTTTGCTTCTTCAAATAGTTAATGATCTGTAAACAATTTCAGTGCCTCCTTGGGGACTGCTATTTAAAGAAACCGGTTAGTAAAAGAGAATCATACCTATCCTTTCTCAGTTTAAGGAATTTGAGTATGAAACTTTTGTTTTAAAAAAGTGTAGTACCTATGCTAGGGATAATAGTTCAGAGCACCCTCACCGTGTACATGAAG